AAGAAATAAAAGGAATAAAAATAGGAAAGGAAGAAGTTAAACTGTCACTATTTGCTGATGATATGGTACTTTACATAAAAGACCCAAAAAACTCTTCCAAAAGACTTCTAGACTTAATTGACAGATTCAGTAGAGTAGCTAGATACAAAGTCAACACTCAAAAATCAAGAGCCTTTTTCTACACAAAATTCAAACTCACTGAGAGAGAAATTAGGGAAATAATTACTTTCATGAAAGCATCCCAAAAAATGAAATATCTATGAATCAATCTAAGGAAGGAGACAAAACAAACAAACAAACAAAAAAAAAACAACACTCTTCCCTGAAAATTACAGCACTCTTAAAAAAGAGATAGAAGAGGGTATAATAAGATGGAAAGACTTTCTTTGCTCTGGTAGGAAGAATCAATACAGTGAAAATGGTCACACTTCCAAATCTTCTATACAGATTCAATGCAATCCCAATTGAAATCCCAACAGTATATTTCACAGAACTTGAGAAAACAATCCAAAAATTCATTTGAACCAGAAAAGACTTAGAATAGAAAAATCCACTCTATGCAACAGAGACATGGCAGGGAGTATCACAATCCCCAACTTGAAGCTATACTACAAATCCACTGTGATAAAAAACAACATGGTACTGGCAAAGAAACAGACCCTAGGATCAATGGAATAGATTATAAGATGCAGAAACAACACCAGAAATACTCAGCTACCTCATCTCTGACAAGGGAGCCAACCATTCTCACTGGAGGAATGATAGTCTCTTTAATAAATGGTGTTGGAAAAATTGGCTTTCAACTTGCTAAAGATTAAAAGTAGATCCCTGTCTTTCACCATGCACTAAACTAAAATCCAAGTGGATTAAAGATCTGAATATCAAAACAGAAACACTAAACTAACTGGAAAGTAAATTAGGTCAAACTCTCAAAAATATTGGCATAGGAGAAGGCTTTATGAACAAATCCACAGCAGCACAAGAACTTGCACAAAGAATCAACAACTTGGATCTAAATGTCTTAAAAAACTTTTGCAGTGCCAGAGTAACCAACAGAGCCAAGTGACAACGTACAATGTGGGAAAAAAATTTACAAGGTACTTCTCGACAAATGACTACTATGTAGTATACATAAAGAACTCAAAAAAATCAGACCCACCAAACACAAAGTCCTGATTCAAAAATGGACATCTGTAATGAACAGACATTGCTCAGAGAAATAAGTAAAAGCAGCAAATAAATATATCAAAAAATGTTCAACATCTCTGGTTATTCAAGAGATGCACATGACAACAACACTGAGATTTCACCTTACCCCAGAAAGAATGGCTGCAATCAAGAAATCAACCAATAACAAATGCTGGTCAGGCTGTGGGGAGAAAGAACACTTCTCCATTTGTGTTGAAAGTGAAGACTGGTGGGAATCAAAATGGATATACCTCAAACAACTAGGATTAGAGGTGTCACTTGACTCAGCTATCCTTCTGCTTTGTATCTTTCTAGAAGAATAAAATGTATCATACCACAGTGATATATGCACATCCATGTTTATAGCAGCACTATTTATAATAGCTAAAACTTGGAGAAAGCCTTATTGCCCATAAACTGCAGACTGGGTAAAGAAGATGTGGTTTTTTCATAAAATGGAGTAGTACTCAGCCATAAAGAATAATAAATTAGAAACATTTTAGCTAAATGGATGCACATTGAGGCCATACTTTTAAGTATAAAAAGAAGGTTCAAATGATATAATTGAGAGTGTGAAATAGGATGCAAATGACTAAAGGGGAAGTTGGAAGGGGAAGGGAAAGGAAATAAGAAAAACAAAAAAAAATACAAGAAAAGAAAAAAAGGAAACAAAGACTTTTTAAATAGGTCAGGGTGAAGGGGGTGAAAGGAGGGCAGGGGTACATGGGGAAAATGAGAACCAAGATCTGTCATTGAAAGGTGCAATATCCTGATGATAAATGTAATTATTGTTTGCTGTAAATGTGCCAATAAACATAAAGGCAAATATAATCTTCTCACTGTTTTTTAACAGAGATAAAAATTATTTCCATTTCTATTGCTGCATGATCATGCAAGAACAATTTTGTCTTTAGATGTGGTAAGCAGTTTCCCTGAATGCAGCATTCATTCTTATCTATTGACCCTTACTTATTTCCATGCTAGAATCAAGTGCACCTGCAAGTCATCAATATAATGAGCTTCCTTACAATCTAAAATCCCTATTCCAACATGATAAACATCAATAATAATGAAAGACAGCAGTCTATAACATGATGAAATAGTTCAAAGTATGTTAGAATAAATATATTTTTATCATAAGCAGAAAACTTTAATTCCTATATTTCCACTTAATAATGAGTTGCCTGCATCTCTAAATTAAGATACTACTCTGAACCTTGTACGTAGGTTCATTAAGAGTTTATTACGGTGCTCACTATGATGATCAATAGTTTCAAACTTTCACCATTTCTGGTTAAATTTTACCAATGGGCCAACTCTGAGTTCACATTAGTCACCAACTCCCTTTGCTGCTGTGTTCAAGACAAAAAGTGTTCCTTTTTCTTAGGGAAATGCTACAGCATCTTTTTGAATGAGAGTTAAGAAAAATTTTAAAAATTGTTACTTTTACCCCATTTCAGTTTATTGTATCTGAAGTGGAACTCAGTTTAGTCACACTGAACATGAACTCTTCAGTCCTGTCTTTTTCTGAGTGGCTGAAGGTTGAGTTTCAGCTGCAGACACTGAGGGGCAGAAAGACACATTCCTTACAAGGCCTCATTTCCTTCACTGTTATTCAGTAAGGTCTCGTTTAATTAATTTCATAATTGTTTTACTTCTATTATAAATCCCTGTATTTCTATGTAATCTGTCCTTTGTGCATTAGATTTAAACTAGAATTGTCTTAGACAGTGAAAGATGAAAGATTATACATCAATTCTCCTTTTATATATGACCATATAGAATTTCTGTTTAAACATTTGTTTTTAATATCTGAGACATTGGAAACTGGCAGGAATCAATCTTGAAACCAAGACTTATACTATTTCTGTTTCTAGCTTCTTTTGTATTGACCAATATTGCTATTTTAACTCTTTTCATCACTTGTCCATACTCATGTTCAGTTCTAAGAAAACTTTGTCTTTATATATTAGTGAGAATCAACTTCAATTTTTATTCATCTCTCTCACTTAAAAAAAGGATATTTTGACATCTTTCACAGAGATCTCTTCCGGATTTCTTTGAAAGAATAAAAAATAGCCTATTGGAATGCATTTTGTTTCAACAGGTGTTTCTGAAAATACATAGTGGATTATAAAAGCTTCTCCTTTTCTCAAATAAATAGCCAAAGTTGCAGTGGCATTCATTTTTCCCAGAGTATGATGTGTCATAAAAATATACTAAAATGTAATTGTGTGAGGAATTTGATATTAGAGTTGTATATTCAGAAATGTCTAACCAGGAGAAAAATGTAGATACAGTAAGAAGGAAAAGATATCTTAGAATATGGAGGACTGTATAGCCATACTTTGATCCCCGGGGTTTGAATTAAATACAATAATCTCACTAGTTGTGCTTTCTGTCTCTAGGCTTCATGCAGCTCTATTTTCTCTTTCTTTCAATTTTAAAAACTCCCTATCTTCAGTCTTTTTATAAATAACAAGGAAAGGAAAGGTGGCTACACAAGCCAGTGGGAAACAAATCACACCCAAAGAGTGGTAGTGGAACCAGGTCAGGTTCTGAGCAGTTAGCTGGAATGCTTGACTCCTTTGAGACTTTTGGCAAATTCAAATCAGAAGACAGCTGAAACCAAGGGACTGAGAGTGTGATTATATTTAGTGATTGAGTACAACATAGAATTCTCTGTAGAAGAAGTAAATGAAAAAGATGTGAGTGATTTGAATAGACTAGAAAAGTTCAGATTGTTGTGTAGCTAATAACACACAAAAAGACAGAAAAATGAATTATTTTCTTCAAGGATCTATACTGAAATCACAATGTGCAGACCAGAATTTTCAGAACACCAATATTTTAAATATATGAAAAGAAAAGTTATTTCTAATGTAAAGATGGGAAGCAGTCAATTGCCAATGGAAAAACAAATAACAGATAAGTAATACATAGTATATCTTTGGAGAGTACTGAGCTTAAATTATACAGTATTCAATTATTAATGAATCTGTTGTACAAGGTTCAAAACTGTACCAAAACTTAGATGAAGAAGGTAATTCCATAGTCAGTTTAAAAACTGAAATAAAGAAAACAAGTTCATAGATTAACACAAAAATATCTTATAAATTTTACAAAATATATAAAAATATGTATATAGAAAAATAACAAAGTGGAAAAAATTAAAGATTGGTGTAAATGGAAATATCTTTCATATTCCTGCACTGAAATATAATAACAAGAATTTCCTCATTCACAAATTTATATTCACATTATACACTGTCACCCTCCTAATGAGATTTCTTGCACAAGTTGAAAAATTCAGCCTACAATTTCATAGCAATAGACAAGCCATCTATGAACATCCAAAACTGCCTGAGAAAAGAAGTTCAAAGCTGCAGTATTGCTCCTTGTTGACTTCAAATCCAACAAAATCTACATAAATCAAGAAATCATGGTTCAGACATATATATATATATAATGCACATAAACATATTCAGATATTTATATATACATATGTAAAATATTTTACAATCTAGAAAAAACTGTGTTCATAGATGTTCATTTGAGGTTTGGCGGATGCCAAACTCTTAAATGGGAAAAGCAACAAGATACACAAATACTGCTAATAAAAGAGATTGTTGACACCCAAAGGCATGAAAATGTGTTCCTTACCTCAAATTACATCAATCTTTTAATAAGTAAAGGCCTCAGTGTCAGAACAATAAATATAAAACCATTAATAGAAGTATGGTTATATATCTGTGATCTTGAATTTGGCAATAAGTATGACACAAGAAGCAAAACAAAGAAATAAATTTGATAAAATTAGACTTTGTTAATATTAAACCATTTTTGGTGGGGTGGGAATTTAGCTCAGTGGTGCCACTGCCTGCCTTGTTTGATCCGCTCTACAAAAAAAAAAAAAAAAAAAAAAAAAAAAAACATTTTTATTTCATTTTTTTTCATTGTGTTTATTGGTACTTTTGAGGTACACAGTACAGTTACATTCATCATTGGGATCTTGTGCCTTTACATGACAGGTCTTGATTCGCATTTTTTTCACCATACCCCTGCCAGTCCCTCACGCCCTCCTCCCTTCCCTATTTAAAAAAACATTTCCCATTTTTTTTGGTTTTCTCATATTTTTTCTTTTCCCCTATTTCCTTTCCCCTACCCTTCCCACTTCCCCTACACCTTTAGCCCTTTTCTTCCTCTTACACATGGTTAATTATACCATTAGGATCTTATTTACAATTATAGTCTTTCACACCAGAGAAACTATTTAGTATTTACACATGTGTGACTTATTTATTTCACTTAAGAGTATAACCTCAGTGCATCAATTTTCCCATGAATGACTCAAATTTCTCATTCTTTATGGATGAGTAGTATTCCAATTTATAGAAAAACCACATCTTTGCACGCCAAGTGCCTCTTGGTTCTGAGCTGTTCTCAAAAGACAGGACAATAGCTGGCCTGTGCTTAGTTGTCTTTCTTTAGACCATTGTGAATACCAGCTGTTGAAAGTTCTGCCACATCCTCACTCTACCTTAGCACTCTGCCTCAACTACTTTAGGGAAATCATTGTTGATTTTTCTTGATTGGTCCTTTGTTTTAGAAGGAAGAAGTCTAAGCAGCCCAGTCAGGCATCTAGATCTTATCTTGAGGAAGAGTGCAGGATATACTATAGATAATTGAGAGTTAGAATGCTACATATTTCCATAAAATTATTATAAAAGACTGAATTACACAGTATAAATTAGTGAAATGTACATATGTGAATTATATACCATCAAATTACTTACAAAATTTTTCTGGAATTATGACATCCAAGATTTGTGTGTGACCAGTATAATTACTGTATTTCTAGATCCTTATCACAAAATTGCAGGGACAGGCACCTTGTATTTGCTGCAGTCCTTGCAACATAGTACTGATGTTATACAGGTGGCTGATACTTGCTGGTTATTGAATCCAAGCTAGGTGACATCACTTAACCATAACAGGGAAATTAATGTTCTCATAAAAACCTGTAATCATTTACATTTGCCTTTTCTATCTGCTATCGGTCCTGTCCTCATGTTTTGTCCATGTGATATACGTACTTTGATCAGTCCAAGTTGCCTTTAAACTTCTTGATTAATTTCTAACTGAATGTAAGCATAAATAGTGATAGAAGATAGCACAATTTGTGAGCAATACTACATTTTATCAAGATGTCCATGACATGGATCTCTGCTCTGCTATTGCTACAACTGAGTTGTTATTTCAACTCTGGGAGCTGTGAAAAGGTGCTGGTGTGGCCAATGGATTACAGTCACTGGTTGAACATAAAGATCATACTAGAGAAACTTATCCAGAGGGGACATGAGGCGACAGTTCTGAGACCTTCAAGTTTCACTTTTGCTGATGTTAATTCATCATCCAGAATTAAGTTTTAAACATTTCCTGCATCTGTCAACGAAGATCAATGGGAAGAAACTTCTACTTAATTGATCACTAAGTGGATGAATATGGTCTCAATAGATTCCTTTTTTCACATATTATATAGAAGTAGAAAACATTTTAAAATGTTTTTATGATAGTTGGAAAAATTTTTGTAAAGAAGCAGTCTCAAACAAGATACTGATGAGGAAACTCCAAGAATCAAGATTTGATGTTCTTCTTGTGGATGCCATTGGTCCCTGTGGTGAGCTGGTGGCTGAGCTTCTAAAAATACCTTTTGTGTACAGTGTCCATGGCTGTCCTGGCTTCCAAGAGGAAAAAAATGGAGGAGGGCTTATAGTTTCTCCTTCTTACATGATTTTGGGACTAGGTGGGCAAGTGAGTTTGATGCAAAGGGTAAAACATGATATGTATGCTTTCGTTTGACTTTTGGTCTGAGTTATTTAATGAGAAAAAGTGGAATGAACTTTACACTGAAATTTTAGGTAAGTCATGCTTTTAATTAATACAATGAGTTGATAAGTATCTTGTGCCTTTGTTAGCTTGGATGCATGTAAAGTAAGAGGACTTTTTCTTTTATAGGTAGACAATGAAGTAAAAAGTAGATTATTTGTCAATCTGGCAGCTACAGTAGAAACATTTACAGTATCTCATCATATTGCAGCCCTTTGCCTTTAACTGATATAGATCATTGTAGGAGGTCACACTGTTTTACAGTGAAGCAGTCAGCTTTACCTTTGCAATTTCATATCAATTTACCTTCTTTTCATTTTATAATAAAAGTCATTAGGCACCTCCCTAATGTATTTATGAATGAAGATGAGTAGATTGAAGAGTTTCTAGCACAGGTATCTAGTAGCACTGAGGGAACTGTTTTTCAGAGTAGATCAGTTTCCTTACCTGAAAAAAACTACTTTTTCTTTCCTATCTAAAACATATCTTACTCTTGTGAAAAGTATAGTGTTCTATCCCAGACTCAAAATCTGTAGCTTTCATATTCTAATGATTTGACATTCTCTGATAAGTTTTTAGCAATTATCCATTTTAAAGTTTTAAAATCTGCAGAAACATGAAAATACATGTAGTGTTTTTCATTACATTTTGACATTTGATAAAAGAATGAGCCATAATAGAGTATAAGGACTGATCTCGGTATCTGTAATTTCTGCTAATTTCCCAAGAGATGTTTGCAAATGCTTGCAAATGATAAGTATATACTACAAGTTTCCTAGTATCAACCAAAAGCAAGGGTAGTACAAGAAATTGAGCCATAATCTCACAGAACTCACAGTCCACTTGGATCAGGTAACAGCTCGGTAAATGAATGACACTAAGGTATTTCTGAAAAACTGGTTCCAAAATTATAGTAGGATTGCTTGACTCTGAAGCTGGAACATTTGTTGACATTTGCTTCTGTTATGCTGATAGGTTTAGAGAAACAGGAATATATGCTTAATTATGTAAGATTTTTGATAAATATTTACTAATGTGAACATACTGAAGTAACATAGAGATCTAGTCTCATCTCATCCTTTCTCAAAGACACAATTGAGCTGCACATGAAGCAAAATTTTATTGTTCATATGTAAATACATTTTTGTCAATGAACAGTCAATGTATATATTATTCCTATAACTTTTGAAAATATGGTATATTTACTAAACAGTTATGTAATTACCCAGCTTTTTCTTTTTATCTTCCACCATTCAGGAAAATGCACAACACTATATGAGATAATGGGAAAGGCAGAAATGTGGCTCATTCAAAGTTACTGGGATTTGGAATTTCCTCGGCCTAGCTTACCAAATTTTGATTTTGTGGGAGGACTCCACTGCAAACCTGCCAAACCTCTGCTTAAGGTAAATACATACTGTATTTAGTTTTTCTTTTAATTTTCTGTGGTAATGCTTTGCACTATTCATTGATAGTGTCAACTCACAGTGAGAAATATGTGGGAAACAGGCAAGTATCTTGCCAATAAGAAATCCGTATTTTAGTTGGAAATGTTAGCACATCTCTATAATCACAGAACTACAGAGGAAAAGGCAGGAGAACTACTTGTTCAATCAAACCTTGGCAACAAAACAAATACAAAAGATGGCTTTGACTGGAGAAAGGACCATGCTCTGAAAAAAAGAAAATTTCTCATGTTTTTATTCCAACAGAAGTATCTGGATTTCACTACCATTACAGAAAAGTATGAGATGCCTATGAGGTACTCAGAGTGGAGTCCATTAATTATGATTCATATTCCTCACTATCATTCATTTGTTAACTGAGAGTCTATAAAGTGACCTGAGTACATGACCAGTAAATGTAAAATAAGCTACAGTTTTTTACCATTTAATATAATGTTGACTATTGCATTTTTGTAGATAGCATTTATTAAGTTGAGATATAGATCATCTATTCCAATTTTTTGCAGGGGTATTATCATGAATGGGTGTTGAATTTTGTCAAATGCTTTTTCTGCATCCATTGAGAGAAGATCATATGGTTTTTGTCCTTGATTCTGTTACTATAGTGTATTACATTTATTGACTATTTGTGTTGGACCATCTGTGTAGCCCTTGGAATAAATCTGACTTGGTCAGGATGTATTATCTTCATGATCCTCTGTATTCTGTTTGCTAGTATCTTATTTAGGATTTTAGCATCTACATTCATCAAGGAGATTGGCCTGTAGTTCTCTTTTTTAGTTGCATCTTTTCCTGGTTTGGGAATCAAAGTGATACTTGCTTCCAGAAATGAATTTGAAAGTATAGGTTCCCTTTCGATTTCATTGAAAAGTTTGAAGAGTAATGGCAGTAGTTCTTCTCTAAATGTCTTGTAAAATTCAGCAGTGAATCCATCAGGGCCTGGGTTTTTCTTTGTTGGTAAATTTTTAATTACATTTTCAATTTCACTTACTGGAATTGGGGTGTTTAAAATGTTTTTATCTTCCTTATTCAATTTTGGTAATTCATAAGTATCTAGATATCTATCCATTTCTTCTGTGTTTTCCATTTTATTAGAGTGCAGGTTCTCAAAGTAGGTATTGATGATCCTCGGGAGTTCTGTTGGATCTATTGTGACTTTACATTTTTCATTCCTAATTGCATAGATCTGAGCCTTTTCTTTCCATTTTTGAGAAGGTTAGCTAAGGGTTTACCAATTTTATTTATTCTTTCAAAAAACCATCTCTTTGATTCATTTATTTTTGCATCATTTTCTTAGTTTCCATTGCATTGATTTCTGCTCTAATCTTTATAATTTCCTCTCTTCTGTGAGCTTTGGGTTTTTCTTGCTCTTCTTTTGCTAGGAGTCTAAGATTTATCATTAGGTTATTTATTTGAGCTCACTGTGTTTTCCTAGTTTGGGCTTTCAATGCTATGATTTTTCCACAAAAAACTGCTTTTTATTGTGTCCCATAGATTCTTGTTTGTTGCATTGGTCATTTATTTGAAAACCTGTCTAATTTCTTCTTTAATTTCCTCTGTGATCCATTGATTGTTCAGGAGAGTGTTGTTCAATTTCCATGTGTTTGTGTAGTTCCATGCTTTCTTATGCTATTGATGTCCAGCTTGATTTTGCTATGATCTGATAATATACAGGGGATGACTTTGATTCCTTTGCAGTTATTCAAACCAGTTTTATGAGCTAGTATGTGGTCTATCTTGGAGAATGACCCATGCACAGCCAAAATGAATGCATATTCTGACTTTTTGGGGTTGAACACTCTATAGATGTCTATTAAGTCCATATGTTCAAAAGTTTGGTTCAGTTCTAGTATTTTGTTGATGATTTTTTTGCCTAGATGATGTGTCTATTTGTGATACTGGGGTATTTAGATCCCCCATTATAATTGTATTAGTGCTTATTTGGTTTTTCATGTTACATAATATTTGTTTTATATAGTTGGGGCATTAATATTTGGTGTGTGTATGTTTATGATTGCCATCTCTTCCTGTTGAATTGTTCCCTTTACAAGGATATAGTGGCCTACTTTGTCTCACTTAATCAGTTTTGGTTTGAAACTTACTTTGTCTGTGAATAAGATAGCTACCCCTGTTTTTTTCTGGGTTCCTTTTGCTTGGAGAATCTGTTTTTCATCCTTTCACTTTCAGTCTATGGGCTTATTTCTGTACTATGTGTGTTTCTTGTATACAACATATTGTTGGCTTTTGCTTCTTAATCCATTCTGCCAGTCTATTTCTCTTGATTGGTGAATTGAGGCCATTGACATTGGTTGTTATAACTGATATGTACTGACTTATTATAGGCATGTTAATGTCCTTTTGTTGACTCTTTTTAATTTTTTTCCACTCTCCTTTTAGTTTCTTGCCCTGCCTATTTGATTTTCTCTATTGAGCCTCATGGTGTTGCGACCTTCAGTGTCTTTTTGTAGGATATTGTTAAGAATTGCTTGTAGTGCTGGTTTGGTATTCATGAGGTTTCTCAGGTGTTTTTTTGTCATGGAAGTATCTTATTTCCCTATCTCTTTGAAAGATAGTTTTGCAGGACACATCAGTCTAGATTGGAGGGTTTTTTTCTTTTAGGACTTGAAATACCTCACTCCAGGCTCTCCTTGACCTGAGGGTTTGTGTTGAAAAGGCTGCTGTGATTCTGATGGGCTTTCATTTGTATGCAATTTGTTTCTTTCTCTAACTGCTTGCAGTATTTTGTTCTTCTGTTGGGTTTCTGGAATCTTGATTATTTTATGTCTAGGTGTAGATGTTTTTTGTTGTTGTTGTTGTTTGTTTGTCTGTTTTGATTGTGGCTAATATGAGTCCTATATGCCTCACTTATCTGTATGTCAACTTCTTACCCTCTGTTTGGGAAGTTTTCTGTCATTAATTTTGTGAACAGCTTTCTAAGTCATTTGTATTTTCTCCTGCTATTTCATGGATTCCTATCAGTCTTATGTTATTCTCCTTTGCATCATCTAGGAGTTGTTGGATAAATTTCTCATTATCCCTACTGATTTTAAGAGACCTCTCTTTTTAAAATCACTGACTGGAATTCCACCTTTTATATCTGAAATTCTATCTTCACATTCATTTATCCTTCTGCAGAAACTTACAATAGAGTTTTTAATCTCCTAGATATCTGTTTGAATTTGTTTCATGGATTCCATTTCTGTCCTATGTTGGGCATTCATGGTTTCCATTTCTTTCTTATGCTGGGCCTTCATGGCTTCTATCACTGTCCTGAGCTCATCTATTTTTTTGTCAGTTTCTGTTCTAGATTCTCTGATCATGACTTTCATTTTGCTCAACATCTCTATGATTCTCTGGGAAATTATTTCTGTTTTGAATTTTTCTAGAGCCTGATTGATCTGTTTTGTTATTTACTGTGCCTTTGTGCAGGGTGTCCTGGTGGTTCACTGTCAGACTTTCCATCCTCATTTGCCCTACTGTTTATCATAAGTGAAATGGAAGTCTGTCTTTGTGTCTTGCTTAAGTGTTTTCTCATTTTTATTGTTGGCTTGTCCTTATTTTAATTCCTGGGTTATCACTTAAATCTTCCTGATATACTTGTGCTTTAGCTTTTGAGTCTGTAATGACACAGACATTCTCATTTTCATATCAGAGTAGACAACTCATTAAATCTATCAGAACCCTTTAGCCCTATTGATACAATCAGCAACAGAATAGGATCAAGTGCAATTTACAAATTGCCCAATTGTGGTAGTCATTAATCTATCAGCTTAAACCATGTGAATTAAATTAAAATGAAGAAGCAGCGCAAAGTATGTTTGCAGTGAATAAACTCTTCAATATAGCATCTTTACCATTTAGGATGGGGGCTTAGACAGTGTTAAGAGGAGAGGAATGGATAAGTAAAATAATTGGAGAATTTTTCAAGTGAAGCCAGAGGACATAGGATGACCATACAATGTTTATAAAACTGTTAAAGTCAAAAGGGAAAGACAGAGTACAAGAATAAGTACAAGAATATAACAACTTTACACCAATAGGGCTCACTATCAACTGAAACTTTTGAAGGAAAATGAGAGAAGAAATGAACATAAAGAAAAAAATGATAAAAGAAGTAATCTGAGTTAGAGTAGGAACAGAAACAGAAAGGGAGTTGAAGAATAATATGGAGGAGCAAGAGATTGAGTTGGACAAAGAGGACAGAAAAAAGAAAAAAATTGCAGAGTGGGATGGGGAAAAGAGAAATGAAACAATATTTGAAGGGCCTCTTTCAGACTATGTCTCTGCTGTCATAACATACAATCTGTGCAGCCATTTGCAGAACTAAGTTGTTTGATCTCAGCTAGCCAATGGCAGGCCCCTGTGATTCATTTGATTTTGGGCTGCAAGGCCCAAATTGAGGTCCCTGACCTCCTGCAGGGTTGAAATTTGCAAAGTTCTACCACAGGTTCCCTCTGCCCTTTCTTTGAAGATATTCAAAGCCTGGAGGTCAGAAAAAAGCCCTTTATGACCACCTGTGCCTCTGCAGAGAGGATCCAAGGACTGGCACAATCAGGGGCCCTGAGAGTGGGAGGAGGCTGGGGTACACCAAGCTACTCCTCACAAATTGGACCCAGGCAGGCTGGAGCAAGAAATGTCTCCAAGCAGCTGTCCAGAACTTCATCCTTCCACCTTCCACTGGATGTTGGTCACAGCACAGGTGGGACGAGGGTGTGGCTATCCGTTACTCACCAATTGGCCCCTATTTAGCCTGGGTGAGAAGGGGCTCTGAGCAGCTGTCCTGGGCCCCTGCCTCCTGCCTTCTGCTTCATGCTCCAAATGGGAAGCATTTTGAAGGTAGCTGTAAGAGATCAGGCAACACATGATAAAATGTAGATGAAGGGATGCACACCTGTCCAAAACCTACTCAAATAATCAAAGTAGATTGTTTTGGGGATAAAATATCAAAGAGTTAAAATAAATATTTGTAGCAGTTAGTAAATCTAGAATTAATGGTGATCTATTGGTTTCATTGCTATCTTATTACTATTAATTAATTAGTATTTTATAAAGTAATCGAATTAAATTTGAACCGAAAACCAGTTTAAAATGATAATCTCATATATTATAAATTTACTTTCAAAGAAATCAATAGGACCTTTTCACTAAATGTATAATTTTAGGGAATAGGATGAGCAAGATCAAATGAGTAAATTTTATTTGAAGAACTGAAGATCTTTCTTACTATTCTAGCTTACAACAACAACAAAAAAGAGTATGAGTCAATCATATACCAGCAATATTTATTATCAAACCTAACATCTCCTTCCCTTGTTTATAGCACAAAACCATTCCTCACCCCAGATCCCAGAGTTTTATATTTCAGTGTACAAAGATGGGTTACTTTCTTGAAACAGGTATCTAATGCCATTTGCCAAACCTGTAGGACGCCTCAGTAAAGTGCCCTGCAGTGACACACTTGTGATATGGATGTTACCTGGCAAAGTGAATGCAGAGGAGAGGTTCACTGCTTAGGTATTAAACATTTCACAGTTCCTGTGATTTCTCTGAAAATTGATTCGATGTGAATTGCAATATTATTCTGGCAGTGTATAGAGTGATGTCCCTTAAGATCAAACACAATAATCATATTTTAAATTTACATCAAATTTCTAAGATATAGAAAGAAATGAGTAGTTCTGTATTGTTTTAACATATGTGATCTTTTAAGAAGTCTTTTTTGTTTACCTTCTTATTAGTAACAATGTAAAGCTGAAATCTGATTGTGTGGCTAAAATCAAATTTTTTGTTTGTTTGTTTTTTGGTACTGAGTATCAAACCCTGGAGCTTGTGAGGTAGGCACCGTTCCACTGAACCAAATCCCTAGCCACTCCAATCTCCTTTTTAGAGCAAATTGTGGAGACTCCACAACAACTTCAAAAGTCAAATACTTCAGGCATTATTAGTGTATTACTAAGCAATATATCTATACACCTGAATTTATTGATTAAAAAGCAATCAAGTTAGAAGGAGCAAGAAATAGATTAAGCAGAAAAACATGAAGAAAGATCTCTAAAAATGACAAAAATTACTAATAATAGATGTTATTAAGATTTAAAACATAGAAACGCATCATCAAAACATTTATATGGCTCATTTGAATAAAGAAAAATGAATCCAGATGCACAAATCTATTTATCTAGAAATTATTTATTAAAAAACTGGAAAGTAACACAAAACCTCCACATTTGGGAAATCATTAAATAATGAAATATGTGTCTAACACAACATCTCAATAGTTCTACTTATGAAAACTTGATAACACTAAATTAGCCATAATAGGATGTTCAGATTAATAAATATATTTATATTAATATTATATGTATTTATCACCATAATTGTCTAACCAAAGATATTTAATAAGAATAAATCAGCCCTAGTAAGAGTATGAGATGAGAAGAAAAAGAAAATTGATAAATTCACTCATTTTTTGGGTAAACCAGAAACATAAATGAGAACAATCATTTTCTAAATATTATCATATAATATAAATGAAATATAAAGCTTTGGTTTTGTAAAGAGTTGCTTGGAACTTTGACTGCACAAAAATATTAACATTACTAGGCATATCTTGACCTGAAATTCTGAAGCTATCACTTTGTCTTATGTGTATTTTATCAGGGCCATTCTAATAATTGCTGTTAATTCTTGACTTTAACATTTTCATTTTTGTAATTACAGTATTTTTGATACTGTTTTCTGGGCTTTTGTTACTTTTGTGATGGAGCTAATGCTTTTCAGGAAATGGAAGACTTTGTGCACAGCTCTGAGGAGCATGGTGTCATGATGTTTTCTTTGGGTTGGTAGTCAGCAACATGGCAGAAGAAAGGGCCAATGTGATTGCTTCAGCCCTTGCTCAGATTCCACAAAAGGTTGGCAAAGGGTCTCATTGGCAAACATCCACTAAAGAAGTCATTATGCATTGCAAATATCTGATTTTAGAAAAATGCTCTTGCTTCCTACAGGATTGGTAACGTCATTCACTATATACATAAGCAATGTTTAGAAAGAATTAAATTTTATTTAAGAATGCATTGCAATAATTTAAGCAGTTATTTATTAAAAAGGGTTTGGAATAAATAATGCCAGTTAGGCTTTCCATGTTATCTTCACCTTTTAATGTATCCCAATTTTGTGGTAGACTTCTTTAGTGTGCATCTTAGGAGGATATTCAGAGTTGAAAAAGCAACTGGAGCCAATTAAATATTCACTTATCCACTGAGCCATGTAAATTTAAAAAATGAGGAATACTAGCCGGAATATACACAGTGCATATAGAAAAACAGAAAGATACAAAAATGGAGTGCATTTGGCTTCTTCCCTTACAGTGCAACCTGTGTATTATAAAGTATGCATCACAAGGACTCTGTTTTTATCCCATCAGTTTAACATCCTCCAAATCAAGAGGAAAAGGGAAATATTAACCAAAGAGAAAGAAGCCTGTCTTGGGAAGATGTTCAGCTGCTTTCCCTATAAGAAAAAAATAGGGATTAATTTTTCTAACCTATCTAATTCATCTTCAATCTTTGAATACTTGTGACCTACAGTAGATTTTAGTTACTGTCAATACAGCAGTTTTGTAATCTCCTGTGCCAAGTTTTAGGTGGGAACCTGCAGTTAGACCTCAAATATTTGTAAGTGGTGCTCCAGTTTAAGACAAGAGCTTAGCATTTCTAAACCCAGTACCTCATTTTCAATAGGGTAATGGAATGCTCAGGCTATGGTAGATCATGTTAATCTCAGCTATGAATACATTGTACTGCATCATGAAAGAAAAAATAAATAGTTGAAGAAAATGTAACCACTTTAAAACATGATTTTTTTGTTTTTGGTACCAGGGATTGAACTCAGGAACTTTCATTTGTGAGGCAGGCAGCAAAACCACTGAGGTAAATCCCCAGCACCTAAATATGAATGATTTTTGAAAAGCTACATTGTTTATGAACTGCAAAACTAGCTCTATTTTGTAAATTTAATTTATAATCCTAGCAGTGGTAATGATACTATAAATTCTTATTCAGAATGCCAGTTGAAACTTTTCCTATAATTAAGGATTAATAATTTTAATACAAAACAAATTACATGTGCTTCATAAAACCAATTAAATGATTTCTGACAGAAACTGGTTGTGTAGATTCCATAATGTACACATCAAAAATGATATTTTGTGCATCCAATTCTAAATAAACTTCTATAGAAGTAATTATAAGTATACTATAATGATATCCTTTAAAATATGTCTGCATTAATAGTGTACTATTATTTTAAACATGTATATTAAAGAAATTATCATTAGAAATTATTCTTTTCAATTTCTATATTTCTAAAATATTTAATATTTTTAATTTTTAAAATCCTTTAATAGCCATTTCTAAAATATTTTAATTTATGACTTAGTATTTTATTTGTCTATGTTACTCTGTGTAAAATATGATTACATTCAATCTGATTAAATATAAAGCTAGGTAGAGAAAATGTTGGTGTTCTCTTTGTCTCAGTATCCTCATGGTATTTTATAGTTAAACTCCTGTCCTCAGTTTTAAAATGTACACAATGAAAGGTATTTAACTTGGTGGGCTCTAAATTTTAAAATTCTACATATGACATAATGCAGTCCTCACCTAACAGGTTCTTTGGAGATTTGATGGCAAGAAACCAGATAGATACCTTAGGATCCAAGACTCAGTTGTACACATGTGTTCCTCAGAATGACCCACGTGGTAAGATACTGGAGAAAAAATACTGAAAACATAAATCAGTAAGGATGGTGATAATTCAGGATAGTACAGACCAGGGAACATTTGCTGTTGGACAATCAAAACTGAAACCAAACTTCATTGCATATTTGTAGTCTTGGGGGAAGCAAAATGACTTGCAGTAGTTGATGTTTGCTCTCCGTGGAAACAATATTAAGACTTCATTTCAAATCTGTTTGCTTCTCAGAGAAGAGGTAATAATTTCCAGGGTTGTCATTCCACAGAGATGGGGGTTTACACATATTGATCAAGATAACACTCTTGATTTATTTTCAGTAATGCTATATTTTCAATGGGAAATTATTCACACTTTTCTTCTACTTAATAATTCACTCTCTTTGTTCCAATATCACATCTTGCGCAATTCCACAACTATTACTTCAGAATTAGTGAATAAACTACCCCTTTAAGAGAACAAATTCTAATGCACACATGATCCTATAATTATGTCACTTGGTTTATTTTACCATATTTTGTGAAATTTTCCTGAAAATCCTGTATTCATTATTATAGTCATATACCATATCCGAACAGTAGCATTTGCTTTCCTTTGCTTTCTTGATCTGATACACAAAAGGAATGTTACTGTACCAGGTGTGAGGCTGCATGACTATAATCTCAGCACTCAGGAGGCTGAGGCAGGAGGACTGCTGAGACTTTGAGGCCAGCATGGCTACATAGTGAGTTCAAGGCCAGCCTGAATTACATAGTGAAACTTTGTCTCAAAAACAAAAACAAAACAAAGCAAAAAAAAACAAAAAAATCCAATAGATACACATTCTTTATCCATAAAATAGATCCACTTTCTGTCTCTCCTATTGTACATTTCCCATTGCATTTCTTAAACTTATAACAAATTTTTATGCTACACTCACCTGATATTAGATCATCCCAGAATGAGAGCTTTGTCACTCATGGTGGAGCCAACAGTGTTTATGAGGTGGTCTACCATGGGATCCCTATGATGGGCATTCCTTTGTTTGCAGATCAGCATGATAATGTTGCTCTCTTGATGGGTAAAGCAGCAGCTGTTAAAGTGGAATTCATGACAATGTCAAGTACAGAACTACTAAATGGCACTGAAGATGGTCCTTAACAGCCCTTCCTGAGTACAAACTTGTTTTTATAACCTACATTCTACTTAGAGATAAATTCTCACATGAAGGCCAAGGAAATACCTTTTAGCCTAAAAAGAAAGTAATGAAATGAAAATTTGTTTAAGGCTGAAGTCGCCATTAGACATGAGTTTCAGTGTCACAATAAATTTTTTCACTGTTCTTATTTGCAATATTTGTGCAAGATTTAAGCAGAGTATAAAATGTTGAAATAACCTGTAAATGGAATGAGAGGAATCACTGAGGATGGTCACAGAGGAATTACAAGGAATATGAAGTAAACAGTGAAACAGGAATCATGGATGATGTAAGGGTGTGATTCATGTATTTATGAATTAAAATCAGATGAATATAAAAAGACAACAAATAAAGGGTTCAGTGCATTATTCAAACAGAAACTGTTTTATAGTTTTAATGATTGAACTATTGCTAAAAATTTCAATACTGCTTTCTGGTCCATGCTGCAATTCTTAATGATTTTATTCACACATGTAGTATGAGCCTTGACAAGGATTTTCCTTTTGCTCTAAATCATGGTACAGTTTGAATCTTGTATGATAGATCTATTAACATATTTGTACTGTATAATTCTAGTTCTAAGACTCATAAATATGCCATATATTGTTATTTTTGTTTGTTTTACCTTTGGAAGGAAGTGATTATAATCTTTAGCTTAGAAATAACAGTGCTCCCCCAGCCTTTCTGTTCACATCTTTATTTTTTTTCCTTATTGAGTTTATTGATACTTTAGGTATACAGAATAGTTATGTTCATCATTCTGTGCACATCTTTAAATCCTATGTGCTAAGTTCTTACTAAGATTTCTAAAGTGACTAGTGAAAGAAAATAATTTCTTATAACATTTTTTGTGTTCATGTTTACCACTTCCAAAAATTCATATTCTACCATTTTGAAATAATTCTAAACTTATTTAATCTTCCTTCAACTATAAGAAGAATATTATGTGGTTGTCACCCATTCACCACAATCAGCCCATGAAGCCCTTGGACCAAGCAGTCTTTTGGATCGAGTTTGTCAAGTGCCACAGAGGGGCCAAACACTTGATGAGGCCACATCCCCAAAACCTCACCTGGTGCCAGTACCACCCACTGGATGTGATTGGGTTCCTACTGGCTTTTGTGGTGAGCATTACTCTACTTGTCATTAATGTTGCTTGTTTTTTTCCTAAAAACTTAGTGAAGATGAAAAAGAAGAAAAAGAGAGAGTAGGTATCTTTCAGATTTAATGCTTTAGAAATGAAACCATTTCATTTAAATCAATCACTGTGGATCAAAACATTGTAAAGAGCTCTTTGGCCACCTGCTTGGGTCCACCTGGTGGGTCCACAATCTTCCCGACTGCATGCCACCAGATCCAGTAAAGAAGGACCCAGAAGAGGTCTCTCTGGCTGCCTGCTGAGGCCCACTAGGCGGGTCTGCAATCTCTCCAACTGTGCGCCACCAGATCCAGTAAGGAAGGTAGCCACACAGGCACCCTTGAAACAACACCACACCCTGATTCCCCTATTCTCAAACCTCCTGATTGGGCCAGTTCTTTGATCCACTCTGCAGAGGCACAGGTGGTCATGAAGGGTATTTTTCTGAACTCCCAACTTTGAACACCTTTAAAGAAAGGGCAGGGGAAACATATAACAGAGCTGAGTTGAGTTCAACCATGAGGGTTGGGAAACTCAATTTAGGCCTTGTGGACCTGCCATTGGTTAGCTGAGATCGGGGGACTTGGCTCTGCATATGGCTGTACACATGGTATAATATGAGAACAGAGACATAGTTTGAAAGAGGCCCTTCAAATTCTTATTTTTTTTCTTTTCCTCATTCCACCCTACAATTTCTTTCTTTCATCTGTCCTCTCTCTCCAATTCAGACTCTTGCTTCAACATATTATCCCTCATCTCCCTTTTTATTCCTGCTCTTGCCCTAACTCAGACTTCTTCTTTTATCATTTTTTTTTTATGTTCTTTTCTCCTGCCATTTTAACTCACTCATGGCTCCATAGCTTCAAGAGAAGGCAAGCTCCCATTACTGTTAAGGGGATATATTCTTGTCCTGATTCCTGCACTCTGTCTATCCCCTTTGAAGTTAATAGTTTTGTAAAGATAGTATACTCATTCTATGAGCTCAGGCTTCACTCAAAACCTTATTATTGAAATTACACTTAACAATCTGTTCGTTTGCCCCACATTCCACTGCCACTGGTAAGGGACAGGTTGAAGACTGAGAAACACCTCAGAAAGGGCACCGAGAAAGAGGAATAAATGGGAACAATTGTTTTTATTTTTTAAACTGGAAGACACCATCATAAAGCAAGGTAGTTTTGAGTTTGGGCAGGCTTTCTGTCCTTACCATTTAAAATACATACTTAGCTCCAAAGAGTATTTTCACACAAAGCTGGCGCAAGCAGCCCCATGGAAATTATTGAAATTACACCTAACAATCTGTTCATTTAGAGGGAACAGCTACATGTTTATTTCAAAAGAGCAATTTTGGCTATCAGGTGTGGCTGTCAAAGGAACAAGGAGAAGCTTATATAACTGGCTCTTCCATTCAGATAAATCATCCATCTGGGATCCTTCTTAAAAACAGCCTTTGCTTTCACTGTTTTAAAGGGATTTTTTTTCCTTCTCTCTCTTATTATAAGAGATTTCTGTTATTTGATCACTTATAAGAAAAGTTCTGGCCAGTGTACTTACAGTTATAGCCCTGAAAATTGTGCAGGACTTGCTATAATTCAGTTATGCTAGAACATGTGAGAGTGCGGTCCAATTTAAAATAATTGTTTTGTTTCCCTTACTGAAAAAATAGAAATAAAGTTTCAGTAATTGGGGAGGAAGGGGTAAAGGGAGCGTAGTGGTAAGGGGAAAAAATGAGAACCAAGACCTGTCATGTAAAGGTACAAGAGCCCAATGATGAATGAAAGGGGTAAAGGGAGCGTAGTGGTAAGGGGAAAAAATGAGAACCAAGACCTGTCATGTAAAGGTACAAGAGCCCAATGATGAATGTACCTGTACTATATACCTAAAATGTACCAATAAACTCAGTGAAAGAAAAAGAAAAAATAAATAAATAAAATAATAGTTTTGTGTGCTTATGTGTTTGTCCATCTGCTGTTTAATGTGTGTTAAATTACCTACAGCTACTTTGTTCAAGAGAAATAATTTTTGAGCTCAATAATTTTTTGGTTCATTTTGATATTTCCATGTTCATATGTATAGGTTTTTTTGACAGCCAAACTCATTTAAAATATTACCAGATAATGAGAACCAAGACCTGTCTTGTAAAGGTACAAGATCCCAAAAATAATGAATGTAACTGTACTATATATCTAAAATGTACCAATAAACTCAATGGGAAAAAAATAAAATAAATAGAAATAAGCTATGCTATGAGTAGTTAAATAAACAGCTGTTAATTTAGTTTGTGATAAATGTATGTTTTAAAATTATACATATGTACATATCTTAATATCAGCTATGCTCTGAATCTAAGCTTAAATTTAAGTTTTTAAATTCAAATCTACGTAAGTTTAATACAAAGAAAGTAACTAATAGGCACTCTGTTATATACAATATGTTTGGAACTTCAGTGTATTACATGATCAAAATTTGACATCTTTTTAAATTTTGTCTGGGCATTTGAGCTTGATCTGCTTCTATTGGCTTTGATTGAACAAGCATTTTGACTTCTTCATTGGGTAACAAGTCTATTTGTAGGGATTAACAAAGCTTACCAGAGATGCAAATATGTACTTAATTCTTCTCAATATGGATCTATGTCATAAAACCTATTAAAGGAGTCTAAAGATTGCTTTAGATGGAAAAGAAGTAAAGATTTCTATTCAGGTATGATACTATTCATTGCTAATATTATTGTTTATAAAATGATACATTGGTGTCTTTCAAATGTTTAGACCTTCATGGATACAAACCTGAGAAAAACATCTTATCACACTTATGACAATCAAAGTTGTTTATACTTAAAAGCAGTGTCTGGATGAAGCTCTTTTCCCCAATCTGCCTTTCAATTCTTTTATTAATGCATCCTACACCCTTTTATTTCATGTGTTCAATTATATTTCTTCTAATCAGTGAATGCCGTTCTGATTTCCAGAATTTCTTAATAGTTTTCATTGTATCATTATTCTTTTATTATTTTCTTACATTAGCAATTTTTTATACCTGAATATTTAAATCATTGTATTTTAATACCCTACTTTGTTTTAATCATTAATTCTTCCCTTGGTATCCCTGAAGCATCACTTTTACATGTATACTTCTTTCAAAACAGCATTGGTTAAGAAAGATGTGTGGTGTCTTATCTATGACTAATGATTATTTATCTCAATACAAAGTGTATATAAAAAAAGTATTGGAGCCAGGGACTTAACTCAGTGGTTCCACTACATGCCTCACAAGAGCAAGGTCCTGAGTTTGATCCCCAGTACCAAAAAAAAAAAAAAAAAAAAAAAGTACCAATTCAGTTGGCCAATCCTTGTTTGTTGATATGACTGACCATCCATGAAATTTATGATTCATTAACTTTTCTGTTTCTATATTGTACTCATCTTTTCCATGAAAATTTTCTACTCTGTCTTCTCTGTTATAGAAAATTTATTGTTATTAGTAAAATAGCTACAAACTTGACTCATTATGACAGTAACTCAAAGTGAGTGACAAGGAAATGAAATCAATAAAGGTCAGATAAGTTGGATAAAAATTAAGCAGAAATTCAAGGTCAGATAATTTAAGAGTTAAAATGATGGATTTATCATGATTACACTCATGTTGCCAAAGTTAGGATAAAATTAAATCAAAATTGATACAAACAGATAAAATCAATTCACAATCCTTCAGTAAAGCCTAAAGTGAATGCTTGTGGCCATTAGAACAGTTATAAACAAAATAATACTAAGTATAAATTATAGAACAAAGCCTTAATACAATGTGTAAGTAACACTTTTTAATCTATTTAATGGAAATTCCCAGTAATTCTGACTAGAAACAGTCAAGGTTCCATTGAGCAATAGAGAAAATTCAATAATTTTTTTGCTGCTTGCATCGATTCTTTTATTAATGCATCCTACACCCTTTTATTTCATGTATTCAATTATATTTCTTCTAATCAGTGAATGCCATTCTGATTTCCAGAATTTCTTAATAGTTTTCATTCTATCATTATTCTCTTATCATTCTTTTCTTACATTAGCAATTTTTTATACCTGAATATTTAAATCATTGTATTTTAATACTCTACTTTGTTTTAATCATTAATTCTTCCCCTGAAAATCCTATTTCATGTAGTATATTATTTTCACACCTAATCATCAAATATCACTTACTGCAAATGTTCCAAAAGAATAGTTTATGCCTTTAGCATTCACATTTGCCTACAGTGGCCTCTAGCATTGTGATTTTTTAAATTATTTAAGCAAAAAGACTCTGTACTATATAGACACATTTTGACCCCTATGTTAATGCTTAAGTCTCATTTGAATTGCAAGCAAATCTGCTAATTTACAGTTTCTACAAGTTTATGTTCTTGGAATTTTTAAAAATTCATTATTAATTGGCACATATATTTTTTATATTGCTTTGGAGTGTGTGTGTGTACATGTGTGTGTGTGTGTGTGTGTGTGTGTGTGTGTATGTTTATAGCAGAAGTAGTGGGACAGTGGTGTATCATTTGTTATCACCTCAATTCATCCACTGAGTTGAACTCCAACAAATATTTATTTGAGAGTGAGTGATGAATTCATTTTCTTTTTTTTAACTTTTATTAATTTCATTTATACATTTAATGTATATGATATAATGAATTCATTGTTGTAAATTTGTACCTTTATATAATCAATCTTGGTTCTTATATTTCTCCATTCCTCTGCCCTCCTTCCCAATCTACAAAGACTTTATTTCCATTATTTTTCATTTTCTCATATTGATTCCACTCCCTTCTTTCCTTTCCACTGCCCCTCCCATTTCCCCTTCCTTGTTGTCCCTTTTCTTCAGGCCTTATTTACAGTCTCAGTTTCTCACACTAGAGAACTAACTATAGTTAGATTTATCCAATATAAATACTTTAGAGTTTGTTGAAATTTCATCTGTGACTGACTGAGGTCAATTTGAAAAAATGCTTCACATGCTCTTGAAAAAAAAAGTATACTTGCACTTATTCCTCTACAGATTTAGGAGACAATGTAAGGTGTTTGAATTCAGTATATATCCAGCTTCACTACCACTTAAGATGAAATAATTTTTATCTCTTCCAGCTTAATTTGGTTCAGAATAATATATATGGGTTTACATGTAGTCACTCTCGTCTACTTCTTGTAACATCAAGCTCATTGTGGAAGATATCAATTTCACTAACTAATATTTTGTTTGTTTGTTATTTGTTTGTTTGTTTTTATTATGATCCCTGAAAAGATTCACTGGTAGAAATCACTATATTTTTGCAATATTGATATTGTGTATAAGATATGAATAAATATTTTATAATATAAAACATGACATTTATCAGAACATAGTGAATGTTTATTTTCCTTTTAAGATAGGATATATGTGTACATATATATATGTGTGTGTATATATGATATACATGATATATATGATAACCAAGTGCCAGTCTATGTATTACTAGGGTACGGTGTAAAATAATGGTGATTATTCCATATAATCATAATTTAGCTTCTGGTCTGAATAATCTGCAATAATACAGAAGATCCTAATAAGATTACTGACATTGAGAAATGGGAAGAAAGGAGCTAAAGGTGTAGGGAAGGTGGGATGGGTAGGGGAAGGGTAAAAAGGGAAAAGAAAAAAATGTGAGATAATGAAAAGATGGACATAAAGTGTTTGTAGATGGGGAGGGGAGGAGGGGGTGAAGGGAGGGCAGGGACAAGGGGAAAAATGAGCACAAGATCCCAACAATGAATGTAACTGTACTGTATCTCTAAAATGTACCAATAAACTCAATTAAAACTGAAAAAAATTATACTTTAACTGAGCCTTCTTTTATCTGCCAATATTGCTTGATTGATGAATTTTAACTAGGTTTGTAAAGAAAAACTCATATCAATTTTTTATAACAGGAGGAAATATTTACCAAAATATTCAATAAAACACCAATATTAAAACCACAGACAGCACAAGACACAAATAAAGACTAAATATTAATATTTTTTAGCATAGATTTAAAAACCCCTGAAAATGTTAGAAAAACTATGTTTAGAAATATACAAAAGTATTTATATAATCTGATTTTGTTGAACTCATTTTTTTAAATGTCAGGTTGCTTTGATATCTAAAAATTCATTGATAAATATATTACATCAATATAGCAAAATAAAAAACCTACATTATCACTAAAATATATTTAGAAAAAATAATTTGATAAAATCAACAAACTTCCTACTAAAAATAATCCAATAATCATTGAAATAAATTCAAATTGGTTAAGAGCATATGTGAACATGATAGTTTATTGAAAAATTTTTTCCAATGCAAGCATGAATCTATGGTCATACGACCCTGAACACACCCAAACTTCTCTGATCTCAAAGCAAACATAAGACAAGTAGATGGATTATTATTTTTTTTATTTTAAATTTTATGAGTTTCTTGTCAAGGAAATTAGGCAAGAAATAAAATACATGTAATCATACAAGAAGATGAAAAATTTTAACAGATGACACTCAAGAAAAAAATCTATTACAAAAATAAAATAATTTTTCAGAATACATGATTAATTTCAATGAATATTATAAAATAAAACAAATCTGTTCACTTAGAGCAACACAAAAATATTTTATAAATTTACCAAAAGGTATAAAAAGCAACTATTTTGAAAAATAACAAATTGGAAAATAATTAAAGATCTGTATAGATGAAAATATTCTTCATATTCCTGTACTGAAAAAGAAACAGTATTGTACTCATTGATGGCTTTATTTATTTATTTATTTTTTTGTATCAGGAATCAAACTTGGATCCTTGTGCTGCGAGGCAGGCCACTGAACCCCTGAGCTAAATCCCTGGCCCAGATGGCTTTATTCTTCTTTTTTTAATCTTTAATTGAATTTATCGGTACATTTTAGGGATACAGTATAGTTACATTCATTATTGGAATCTTATACCTCTATGTGACAAGTCTTGGTTCTCATTTTTTTCCCCTTGTCCCTGCCCTCCCTTCACCCCTTCCTCTCCTCCCCATCTACAACCACTTTATTTCCATCTTTTCATTATCTCACATTTTTTTCTTTTCCCTTTTTACCCTTCCCCTACCCATTCCTCCTTCCCTACACATTTAGCTCCTTTCTTCCCATTTCTCAATGTCAATAATCTTATTAGGATCTTCTGTATTATTGCAGATTATTCACACCAGAGAAACTATTCAGTATTTACATGTGTGCCTTATTTATTTCACTTAGGAGTAAATATATAAACACATCAAACACTACATTAACGTCCTACTTGGATTTCTTGCATAAATTAAAGAAATCGTCCTAAAATTTTACAGTATATGAGAAAACTATGAAGCATTCAAAACTGTGTTAAAAAGAAATACAAAGGTGGATGATTTACACTACTTGACTTCAAATCCAGCAGTAATCTACATTAATCAAGAAACCAAGGAGCAGACATATGTATCTATGGAAAAAGGCTTAGATTCCAAGAAATGCATATACATAGTGGTTCATTTTATTTTTGAAAGGATGCTAAAGTTCAATAGCAAAAACATTGACATAAACACAAATGCTGCTGATAAAAATAATTATTGACATCCAAATTAATGAAATTGGAAATTACAGTACTCTGCAAAAATGAAATTGGATTCTTTCCATCACACTATATAACTTTTTAAATAAATAAAAACCTAAAAGTCAGAACAATAAATGCAAATCTTTTAATGCAAATATGATTAATTTTTCATGATCTTGAATTTGACAATTACTGTGACACTAGAAGCAAAATAACCAATTGAATTTAATAAATTAGACTT